TGTTTTTGCCACCACTGCCTGTCCTGCTTAGCAGCCGACTTGTCCAGGGGCCTGCAGTCTGGCCTTCCAACGGTCTGAGGGACAGTGAACTGGCCCCTGTTTAAAAAGTTTGAGGACCTCTGAAACTGTGACTTTCCCTTTTATGTTACTAGCTATTGATGGTTTCAGAATGAAAGGGAAAAAGCACACTTTGCCATTCAGCATAGGATATTCATCTCCGTATTAACAAGTGAAGAAATCAATCTGCAAAATTTAAGTAAGTATATTAACCACGACCAGAAGTTAATGTTTATTCTTGAGTGAATTTCACTTTGCTTTCTAATAGTGTATTTTCCTACCATGCCCACATTTATGGTAAACTCGAGGTAAACATTTGTGTTTGTTGGATTCATTCAAATTATTAGCTTCCCTATTAATTCATTGTTTAGGTTGAACGCTGGACATATTGCCATGAATTTATGATAATCTGTTTACTCGGCTTCACGACCTAAGAGAAATTTTAGGTTAATTATCTCCTGCTTGTAATAATCGGTTTTTGACACCTTAGGCCTAGTGATTCTAGCAGGTTGGGAGAAAACAAAAGTTGCTCCTGCCATTAACCTTAAGTGGGAGCCCGTGGGCCCTGTGGAGCTAATGGGGCTTCCTAAGCATATGAGAAAAGGCAGGGGCTGCCATGGGCTGAGCTGTGTGCAGATCCCCTCCCAGATCTGCCAGCATGGGGCACTCAAACCCATCTGTTAAGGATCAGGTCCAGCATCTGGCTACAGAAACAAAGCACACGGCAGTGTGGTTAAGGGCGTTAAAGTATGGGTTGAGGGCATGTGTGACAGCAGAAATGTGCAGAAGGTGGCAAGTTTGGGGCCATCCTATTGGGTATTTCTGCCATGTAGTAGTAGTGCTGGCAATGGGAAAAAGGTTATGGAATCAGGGGGTTTGAACCTTTGGGTGACTGAATTCTCTGCATGTGATGACTTGTCGTCATCAACACAAGTCCACCCTACAAGCTATAAACTGGGTAAAACTCTGTGTGCAGCTACAACCAAGAACCATAGTGGGAGCTGAAGAATCCTAAGTGATTTTCCTCATTTGTTTGGGTGTTGGAGCGGCCACGCAGGCTCCTAGAGTCCCTCGCTGTCTCACAGTGCCCTCGTGACAAGGATTCTGGGCTGGACAGTCCAGGGAGAGGTAACTGGAGTCCCCTCGTCCTGATCTTCCCGAGAGTGGCTGGCCCAGAGATGTCTGTAGTTGGCCATCTTGGAGCTCTCTGAAGAATCCTGAGTGATACAGTGGAGTGTGTTGAGCTGATGCGCCCAAGTTACATGGAGGATGAATCTCTCAAAAAGTAATCAACTTGAAAAACAAAGTTATAGTTTAAGGCTATTTTAAATCCTTAATCTATAAAAAAAAGTTTTTTTCGACGAGATAAGATCTTAACTCTTTTGCTAGCTGGAGTGTGGTGGCTCCATCATTGCTCACTGCAGCCTTGAACTCCTCGGTTCAACTGATCCTCCTGCCTCAGCCTCCTGAGTAGCTAGGACCATAGACAGGTACCACCACATCTGGATAATTTTTTCCTATTTTTATTTTTGTAGAGATGGGGTCTTTTTATGTTGCCCAGGCTGGTCTTGAACACCTGGCCTCCAGTGATCTTCCCACCACAGCCTCCCAAAGTGCTGGGATTATAGGAATGAGTCATTGTGCCAAGCCAATACATTTTATCATAAAGAACTTTGTGTGAGTTTTTATTCTTGTTTGACTGTTGTTAAACGAGAGTGGCTGTGTCCTTTCACTCTTCCTGTGCAAGGCCCTCAACAATACTTTTGGAAGCTATGACACCATGTACATCTCCACATCCCAGTTCATTTTGCTTTCCATATTGTGAAAAGGAGATGTGAAGACAGCTATATCCAAATAGCAAAAATGATGATTCGAAATTGCTGTTTATTTACTGCACTTGAAATTGATGTAGGGCAGAGAGGCAGAAATATGTGGCCTTTATAATGAATAGCCATAGTTCTAACCTGTGACAGTGCTCATTTCATCTGAGACCACAAGGCAAACTAGGACCTATTTTTTTTTTTTTTTTTTTACCATTTTTGTACCAACCAATTTTTGTAAATTATAACTTTCAAGTCTTCAAAATTTCACACAAACATCTAAGTGCCCTAGAACTGCCATCGGTGTACGCTTTTGAATGAAAATCGCTTCAGTCCTACAGAAAGAACTGAGGCTTTGGAGTGAGATGGTTAGATGTGACTGCCACCTCAACTGCTTACGGTCTGGGAGAACTTTTATTTTTTTTTTTTCTACCTTCCACTACAGTTACCCTAAAACTTTAATTTTTTTTTTTTTTTTTGAGAGACAGGGTCTCCCTGTGTTGCCCAAGTTGGACTCAAGTTGGACTCCAAGTTGGACTCAAATTCCTGGGCTCCAGGAATTTGAAATGAGTAACCCCCTCATTTCAGCCTCTCCTATAGCTAGGTCTACAGGTGCACACCACCATGTCCAGCTGGGAGAACTTTTTGAGCCTTAGTTTCCTCACCTGGGAAAAAGACAATTGTTGCTGGGATTAAATTAAGTGCCACCGTCTCGGTATAACACACAGCACATTGCTTGTCGTCTGACAGACATTCCCAGAGTTATAGCTGTGGGATGTGCCTTTCCTTTCTCTTCCCACCTTACTCTCTAGCCATGGCCAAGGCTTTCAGATGAACTTGGGAGGCCTGGGAGGGTGGGGAAAAGGACAGCTGGGAGAAGGAACCTACAGCCTGGGGCAGAATCCAATTCTCAGAGCTCACCATCACTTTTGTTCTTCAGGTGTGGACTAACTTTGCCACCCTCAAGGTCCAAGCGCCTTTTGGGCTCCAGAGTGCGGTGTAGGTCTCACCACCAGCCCCACTCTTCCCCATGGTCCTGTGAGGCTTCTGCAGAGAGCCAGTTTCTTGCCTCCTGGTTCTGCTCTTATCAGGACTTCACTTTACCTTTAAAAGAAAGAAAACGAGAAAGAGAGGTAATAGGAATATGCAGGTAAATGGCCTCAAATTCAAAAGTGAATTTCCAATTGAAGTAAAGGCAAGAGCCTCCCCCCTCTCAATAATGAGAGGAAAAGGCCCCCGAGGCCCTTCTGCTGAGTTTCGGCCAACAAGGAAAATGCTAGCCCAGAGCAGGATATATTTGATCAAGAAGAGCTTCGAGGGATGAAAATGCAATGATTCCTTAATAAATGCTCCTTGGAACTTCAAGTTGGTTTAAGAATGAAGTAGAATAAATGACCCCGGGATCTGAGGACCATCATAGGAAATTCAAACTAAAGAGCTAAAACAAGGCAAGCAAAATGAGTGTGAGGAAACCTTACCATTTTCTCATGTCCCAGAGGACACGAAGGAATCTGCATTCGAGGACAGCGTCTCGAGTCTCCCAGAGATTTGCACACATTCCATGGCGGGTATTAAACTGTGTTAATGACTTTGTCTGAGGAGGAGTTCGGCAGGGGAGCACTCAGGAAACCATATGTGCTGGGCCTTAATAGATGAATAAATGTGGGGAATATTAAAAATTATATCATTAGTAGGCGGAGTCTGGTGGCCCACGCCGGTAATCCTAGCGCTCTGGGCGGCTGAGGCAGGTGGATTGGCTGATTTTAGGAGTTCAAGGCCAGCCTGAGCAAAAGCGAGACCCCATCTCTAAAAATAGCTAGATGTCATAGTGGCCACCTATAGTCTCAGCTACTCAGGAAGCTGAGGCAAGAGGATCACGTGAGCCCAAGAGTTTGAGGTTGCTGTGAGTTATGATGCCGCGGCATTCTACCTAGGCCAAGAAAGTGAGACTCTCGCTCATAAAACAAATGGCATCCTTAAAAGTTACAATGGATGCCAGGAACTGCCTTTTAAATACTTAAATTCACTTCGTGTCTGTTGTGTCTATATCCAAAACTTGGTCCTCCTTTTCTAGTCCGCAGATTGGGGGTGCACTGAGACCCTTCAATGCTCTTAACCCAGTCCCCAACCATGGCACCAGTCAGGTGACAGAGATGAGCTGGCCAGTGTGCAAATGAGGGCGGGTTCCCTCCATTCCAGCCCCCTCTTAGTTCTGCCTGGCAAGTCCTCGCTGAGCAGAAGAAAACCACCAAGAGGAGGAAGCCCCAGATGTCTTTTTTTTTTTTTTTTTTGGCTAGGGCCATGTTTGAACCTGCCACCTCCAACATATGGGGCTGGCGCCCTACTCCTTTGAGCCACAGGCCCCACCTGCCCCAGATGTCTTTAACATGGAAGCAGCACACCATCAGAACAGAATCTCTTTTTGCCATTTCTGAGCTTACCTATTTTTTTCATCTTGAGGATTAAACAGATGCTGCCTAAAGAGAGGACAGATGCTTATCCGTACATTTTCAAACCATCAAACAATGGAGAGCTTAATCAATGCCATCGTCTTCAATGGCTGCAAAAACTCAAGAAGAAATAGTAGAATGAAATTTCACCCCTTTCTGAATTCCCTGCAGCCACGAATAATAGTTACTACAGTTGTCTGTACTCCCTGGTTCTTTGCTCCTTCAAAATAGTTCACCTTTTGGATTGATGTCGTTCATGATTAATTAGAGTCTGTGTCTGGGGAGGTAGTTACTGCGTCTCGTCCCTGGAAACCAAAGCACTGGGCATTCTATTCATGTTGCGTTTCCTAATTTCCGGTTGCTACAGGCAGTTAGGATGTAACCACATGTTTCCGTAGTTCATCTTCGCCTCCCTTACATGCACTCCTTTCAAAGAGAAGAATTGCCTTTTGCTGGTTCAGAAATGGGTCGTATGCAGCTGAGCGCTGGAAGAGTCCACGTGCTGGGAATTACTAACAAGCTGTCTTGTGATAAAGAACCAATGCAGAGAAAAGGACCCATGATCACAATACTTACCCAGTGTACGTTTGTATCTGGCAGAGGGGGGGAAGGAGGAAGACTTGCTTTGGGGGTCCTTATTTGTTTTTTCTCCCTTCTCTTTCCCCTGCTTTAGACAAAGCCTGTTGCATTTGCAGTCCGGACAAATGTCGGCTACAGTGCGGCCCACGAAGACGAGGTGCCGGTGCCAGGCATGGCCATCTCGTTCGAAGCAAAAGATTTTCTGCATGTTAAGGAAGTAAGGACAGTATATCCATGTCTGTCGGCGTGATTTTTTTACCTTGACACATCATTTCTTACTTCTCATTGCTGTGAAATAGCCTTGCAGGAGCTACGATTATATAACAGACATACGAAATCCATGGCTCTCAACCTTTGCTAATATAAATAGAGCTTTTTAAAGCAGAAAGAAGTCACAGGCCTCTTGCAATAACTTCAGCGCTCCCTTGGGCAGTGGCCCAGAAATTGGGAACTGCCGGAGTAGATGATCCTTTTTTATGCTTAACCTGTTACTTTTTCTTTTCATGTTTAACCTTGACGATGGGCAGTTTCTCCTGATGTCTGAAGTTTAGCCATCTGGAGAGAGTTTAATAATAATATCTAGAATTCATGACTGCCCTCTCTGCTGACAGTGTCTGAACTCAGACCCGTGGTACCCCTGTTTCCTGCTTGGACGCTAAATTTGTGCCACGGGAGGGAGAATGGTAGGAACAGGGGCCAGGGAGGCAAGAAAATGATAATCAGGAAAATTCTTTTTCTTCCATGTCAAAAGTCTCCGCCTTTCCCTTCACAATGACATAGCCTGTTCAAGTGGGAAAATTCTCCCTTAATCAAGGCTTCTTTGGAGTCTACGTTTACCACATGGCTGCCACATGGAACGGTGTATTAAGTGACCAGAAATTTCCCCAACATCACCATCTCAGTGTGGAAGCGTGAGGTTTCCTTGGACCTGGAGGAATTTACAATTTGAACCCCTCTATCTAGGGAAGGATACATCAGAGAGAGCATGTGCACATTTCACTGTTCACTGAGCTAAATAAAGGAGGTGATGACTGCCCATTCAAAGAGCCTAGAGAAGTTAGAGCCTCCTGTTTCACTAACTTTTAAATAGAGATGCAAAATAGTGGCTAGATAGGAAAGGTCGGACAAGTTTTTAGAAGTGGCATGCCTAAACTCTCACTTTGGAACAGGAGGTTAGATTGCTACAGTATCTCCTCCCCATGATTAATGTCAGAGGAAGATCTCTCCCTATCAGGAGAGAAAAAGAAAAACCATACAGACAGTCTTCAAGGATGTGCTCAAAAACAGACTTACTGGGTTGAGGAAAGTGAAATCCAGTCATAAAGACTCAAGCTAAATAGTCCACCTGCAGGGGATGAAGTGTCAACATCAGTAAACGGAGAGAAATCATCTGTGAACATCATATTGGGTAATTATAAACACGTTTACACAAAGGCACATTTTTCTTTGACACTAAATATCTAAGGTAAACTTCAATATTTATCTCTTTCTGTTAATACTTCTGATTTATCTGATAAGATAAGGCAGTGTTTTCGACCTTACTTATTTAGCCTGTAGTTAAACTTTCCTGGCACACTTAAATTACGTTGATCAAAACAAAAAAGTAAAAAAGAAAAAGGAATACACTTCCTGTGCTTTGAACTTATTTCAAGAATAACTGAATTAAGGATCTTTAAAAATTTTCATGGCACACCTAAGGTCCTCTCACTGCACACCAGTTAGAGATCACTGACATTGAGGGGAGATCTCTGTAACACTTCCTAGATTTCTAGATCCTAATGATATTTTGCTAGGAAGGGCCTTAAATCTTTGAACCTAGAAGGCTTATCCTGCAACGGCTGCTGCCGCCACACAATTCAGCCTGTTCCCAGGACAGAACCAGGGGAGAGAAGGAAGCAGAAAGCCTTCAGCGGATTGCCAGGAGCACCAAAATCTTTCACTCTTACCTTTAGCACGAACTGAAGAGTGTCTTCAGTTGTGACACTGGAGGCGTCATTGTTCACTGTCTTTGCCATGTTGCTGTCTGTTGAAAATAGTTCACATGGAAAAATAATTCGGGGACGTGAGCTTCTCAGCATTGATTTTAATACATTTGATTTTGTGTTTAGAAATTTAATAATGACTGGTGGATAGGACGACTGGTGAAAGAAGGCTGTGAAATCGGATTCATTCCAAGCCCAGTGAAACTCGAGAACATGAGGCTACAGCATGAGCAGAGGGCCAAGCAGGGGAAGTTCTACTCCAGGTAGGAGAACAACGTCAAGTGTGCGCGGCAGAGTCGAGATCATGCCGTCTTCTGCCTACTGTCCTTTCCCATATTCTGCCCTCTGTATCAATATGTTGAAAAGGACCCTGGTGACACGGTTTATCGGTAGCATCCCAAACCCTGCGTTTTCAAAACTTCATCACAGCATGAAACTTTCATCCTAATTGGGAGGGAATCAAATTAATGATTATCTTTAATGAAAAACTATCCAAGGTCATAGAGTATTAAATTCAGGCTTTAGTGCCGGAAATTCTGAAGTCCTGATTGTTCGCTGACAAGTGCTCTGGCAGCAAGCAGCCCTGGTGACTAATCCCGGCATCTGTAACTGCCTGGCATGGCAGGGAGACGTCTAGAGATGACGGTCTCCGACATCATTGGCAAACAGCAGCTCTTGTCAGGTGTTACTTTCATTTTCACCTGAGAGACTCAATTTTCAGTTCTATCCATTGTGAAGCGCTCAAAAGGAAAGCTAAGTCTGGAGCGAGTTACAACTGCCTTTGCAGGTCACAGTGAGATGGTTATGTAACAGGCTGGGGCTGACTGATCATTCTTAGGATTCTTGAGACTGTTTTGCCCCTCGATGAAAGAATCACTGGAAGGGCTGCTCCGATGTGCCGTGAATTTTAATTTGAACCCTCTGAGAACGAGTCCAAGGATGCTGTGTGCCTCCCTATGTGACAGGATGTGGGCTCTGGCGAGATTTTCCTTAATGTGAACAGCAGATTTCTGTTTCCTCTGGCTTATATCCGATGTGTTTATAGAAGGATGGAAATTCCTTTGTTGATTGTCTTATTTTAAAGTTAGCAAGGCTATCTCTCGCGTGTCAGCAGGAGAGGGAAATAGAATATTCTCTGCAGTTTAGAGCACCACCCTCATTAACCAGCATTTTGTAATTGTCAAGTTCATTCAGTTCAGGTAGATTTCTCTGCGTTTGGAGACCTCTGACCCAGAGTTGACTTGCACTAATCCCTGGGTCATCGAGGCATCTCAGGATCATGAGATGCATTAAGTCATGTAAAAGTAGAGGCGTGGAGACGGGTCCGAGGTGAGAAGATCTGATGCTGGTCTCTCAAATTTTAGTGTTCTGTTGGCTTTATTGTCTGTTTTTCTACTTTCCGCCTGATAGCTAACATTAGTTAATAAACTGATGTTTATTAACATCACTGACATAGCTGATAACAGCAATGTCTGTGACCTATGAATATTTTCTCTGGTTCAGGTCTTAATATTTCAATATGACCTCATAGACGTTGCTGTTATCAGCTAGGTACTACATAGCTGAGGTTTGAAGTCACTCCAGCTGGGGACATTTTGGTTTTAGTTTGTTAAGGCTAATTCAGCAGTTTTCAGAATTTTCTTGTCCAGTCCCTTGAGAAAGGGGTTCTGTGGTCAGAACCTGTGAATTTAGGAGTACCAGGTATTGGGAAGTTATTTTAGGGTTCTTCAGAGCCATTAATATGTTAATGTACACTGTGGGTCTGGATGGTGGAATGAGTGTATTTTTCATGTACAGTTTTTACTAAAATTACCTTCTTACAAAAACTGTTCTGGCTCGGGTCTTAAGAATGTTTTGTTGGGCGGCACCCGTAGCTCATGGGTTAGGGCGCCAGCCACATACACCGAGGCTGGAGGGTTTGAATCCAGCCTGGGCCTGCTAAACAACAATGACAACTACAACAAAAATAGCCAGGTGTTGTGGTGGGCGCCTATAGTCCAAACTACTTGGGAGGCTGAAGCAAGAGAATCACTTAAGCCCAAGAGTTTGAGGTTGCTGTGAGCTGTGACACCACAGCTCTCTACCAAGGGAGACAGCAGAGACTCTGTCTCCAAAAAAATAAAAAGAATGTTTTGTAGAATGCATTTGGAAAATGTGGGGTGGATTTTTGCAGAGGGGGACTCGTATGTCTTTCTCTGCTTCTTCCTATGCTGAGAAATGAGAACTATTTCACAAGGAGTAGAAAGGAAGTAGAAATCTTCTCCGAAATTCTTAGGAAGACAAGGTCTCTCCTCTGCCTCCCGACTGAGCCTCCATAATCCAATGTTAATGCTAAGCTCGGCTTTGTAAGAGCCTGTGGGAAGGGCAGGTATGAGAGCCTCATCTGCCTCCCAACTGAGCCTCCATAATCCACTGTTAATGCTGAGCTCGGCTTTGTAAGAACCTGTGGGAAGGGCAGGTATGAGAGCCTCTCCTCTGCCTCCCAACTGAGCCTCCACAAT